GATGATCCTACTTCAGATACATGAATGGCTTGCTCTCTCACATATTTTTTTTGTTTGTAAATTTGAATGTTGAGACAGAAAGAGAAAGAAAGAAATCTTTCCATTTACAATCTTATAAAATTATTTTATGTAATATTAATTATATTATATTATATAATATAAATATTATGTGTGTATATATATATATATATATATATATATATATATATATATATATATATATATATATATATATATATGTACTTTTCTACTGATTCTTAATTAAATGTTATTTTTCTTCATTTGAACTTTAATTTAATTTATGTAATCCGTAAATTTTATATTATTCACTCATATATCTTCACTCTTTTGGCATATTATTTTAAGTTTCTTGACTATAAGAGGCCATCCAATTATATATATATATGTTTATGTATTTTTATTTAATATATATATATATATATATATATATATATATATATATACACGATGATTTAGGCAACTGATTACATTTTTAAATTGATATATGCTATATATATTATTAATGTGTGTATATATTTGTGAATGTTTGTAAATATCTGTGTATATTGTATATTTGTTTGTTTGTGTGTGTGTATGTATGTATGAATATATATGTTTATATGTGTATGTATGTGTGACTTGTTCAACTTTAATTTTCACTAGTGCCTTATTCAAAAAGTAACATTGTTCTTTTTTATTGCCGTCTTATTTAATAAAAATATTAAATTTGATTTCATTCTTATTTGTAGTTTTTGATTTCATTTTTTTTTTATGATTTAAAAAGTATTTTTAATAAATCTATTGATTCGAAATTGATAATTTTTAACGAAACAGAGGTATGTATAAGTATATTTGTGTTTATAAATCGTTCGTTCAATTGCTCTCTACAATGTTGCACATTGTAGAGTTGTTATAGGCTGTTGTAATGTAATGTTATGTTATGTAATGCACGTTACAGGTGTTGTTAATATTAATGTTACTTAGGTTATTTTTTTTACGTTAATTTTTGTGTATGTATGAAAATGATTTTTATAACTTTGCCATACTTATTACAACTTAGCCATATCTCGCTAGGTTTTTTTTCTGTCTTTTCTTTCTCTCTCTCTCTCTCTCTCTCTCTCTCTCTCTCCTCTGTTAGTCATTTTCTTCTGTCTTTTCCTATAACCGTATAAATATGTATGTATAATTAGGTAACATTGTTAAAATTTTTGAGACGTTATTAACATTCTTATTATCTACATTTCTATCATTCATATCTGACTGAATGTTAAATAATAATCTGTATGCATGTTTGTTTGTTTGTAGGTTTGTTGTTTGTATGTTTGTTTGTATCTGTTGGTATGTATTGTATAGATGTTTCTTTGTATGTCTGTTGTTTTGTTTAACACATAATTTCAGGGATATTAATGAGTAACGTGGGTTATTAGATGGATGTTTTCTTGTATTTGTGTGTACATGTGTACATACATGTTTGTGTGCGTGTGTGTGTGTGCGTTCATACAAGCGTGCGTTTATTGTAAAATATTGTTATGATTTTATTTCAGTATCGAATTGAAAACTATACATTAGAAGTTTTAATACAGCTTTAACTTGTCGGTAATTATTTATTTATATGTTTGTATCAATTCAGTCGTTACATTGACAAGTTTTTTTTATTTCTGTACTTAATTTTTCGGGTGATGTTAAACTGGCGGCAGTACCAGCTGTTTTGTGTACTCTTGTTTATGTACTCTACACCTTCTATAAGGTTTCCATGTTAAATAGTAACATAGTTGTAATACTATTATGTTAAAATAATTTTTCTAGTATATTTTCATTGTAAAATAATAAATAAAATTTATTTCCGATATATTTATATATGGATTATGAGTTTTTATCCCGTTAAAAACGCATGAAAATATAATCAAAATTACTCAATATATCCAGAGTATTTAACGCCAGTTACGGGTCTTTTAGAATCTCAAATTTTGGGCAGTAGTGATTTTTTCAGTATATAGGTTTTATTAAAAAGGGTCATCTGGTTATTAGCTGGTTACATATTTGTGTAGTAAGATACTTAGCGTTTGAGTTTTCATCAGTTTTCATGCATTTGGTTTATTGATAGGTTAGAATGCCTAAGAGATTCCATTATAGTTTTACCATTATTTAAAAAAAACAACTCGTTCAACATATTAAATATGGTTGAATAACATTCATAATTCATTCATTATTCCTCTGCTGGTTTGACACGTAAGTTTTCTCTCATGTATGCGTTACAATGTTTTTTATTTTTATACATTCAATAAAATTGCCACAACTTAGTTGGACAGTATTTTGATTATTCTTTTATCGGTTTTTTAAAATATCGGTTAATTTTCAGATAAAAACTAAAGATCGATTTATCTGGTGTTTAGTGTTTCATCAATGTCATCAAATCGTGATGTTATCAATATTGTTCCATTATGACAGAGTCAAGTTGCTATACAATAATACATTGTCTGTCGTCTGCTTGTTTTTGAGCTACTTTTTACAGATTTTCAACAAGTTCATCTTTTCAAACATTTAGAATGTAGTTGACTTATCTTGTTGTTAGTAGTTTAAGTCTTTTTTGGTGAAAAATGAACTCTTCCATAGTATAAAGTGGTAATCTATTGAAGGATTTTCAAAATGCTATTAGATTCCAGATTTATTAGTATGATATGTGTTAAAAGCTGTCTTTCATTTGGAGACTATATATATTTCCCAATTCATCAGTATAATATGTGTTAAAGCTCTTCTTTATTGGGAGAATGTATATTTTTCTTTTTGAGATAAGTTGAATTTGTTTCTGTTGACTGTTAGTGCTAGGATTTATTTGTTTCGGCAAAAATGTCAGTATTGTTGAGTTTTTATACGGCATGATTAATAATCTTGTATGTTTCGGTTCACTTTTGAGTGTGTTTTAGATCTTTATTAATAATTTTCTTTAAAATCGCATCTAGTTTACGATTTTTCATTTTTAAATATGGAGAAGAAAAGTTATTTGGTTTTCGGATCGTCACTCTTATTGTTCATTTCAAGCTTGTTAGTCATTTATTATTTAAAAACTCATCAAATTTTTTAAAAATTATCTCATTTATTTTTATTAATTGTTGAATTATTATAAATTTATTAATTTTAAATATTAAAATTTTAAATCGCGAAATTCCGGGTTGGATTTTAGATCAAAAGCATTGGAGTGCTTCGCAGACTCATCTGGCCATGAAATTTTATCTTGTCAAAATAAATTTTAGTTAGTTATTCAAAATGTTATATTACAAATTGTGGTTACTTATAATTATAAAACTGGTAATTTTTACTTAAAAAAACTTTAACTTATCCATATGATCACTATTATTAATATTTCTATCTAGTTCATTAAATTCCACCAATGGTGGAATAAAGGAATTCTGTATTATTGCTCATAACTTCTCAATAGTAGAGCCAAGTTACCACTGTGAGGATCAGAGTGTCTGTAGTAGTTTTTCTAATAGTAAAAAAGAGGATATTTTGTTTGTAAGTATTTTTCTCTCTTTATTAGTATAGTAGAAAAATTATTTTAATATAATAAATTTAATTTTTTAAATTTAAATTTTGTTGACAGCTCTGTAAAGAGAGACACTTATATTTAGTGTTCTGTTGCAATACCAGTCCTTGCGATGATCATTCTAAGCTTTCTGGTTACTCCATTTTAAAACAAAATTTAAGGACATAATTTCGCTTTTATTAATTCTTAAATATATAAATAAACAAATATGCATTTATGTTTTAATTATTCTCATTTTTATTCAATTATTTATAAATATTCCTGTCACAAAGGTTTCTGGTCAAACAACAGCACTCATAAATTATGCTATAGTAGGAACATCATTCATTTGGAACATGCCACCACGAATGGGAACACAATGACAAGTTCATCCAAGTCTGAACAAAGTCCAGTGGAGTCTGTAGACAGTGGTGAGGTTTCCATAGTAGATGGAGCCAATGATATCTGTCCCAGTGATGTTTCTGCTGTGCACGCCTTCAATGGAAACTGCTTGAATGTTGGTTCATGCAACTGATGCTCGTGCAACATTTTGAAAATGAGAATTTTTTCAACACTTTTTTGGAATTTAAACAGACTAAATTTAAAGTATTTTTAGTATAATTTTTCAATTGAAACAATAAAGTCGATGTGTTAGGCATAAATTTCATAACTCATGTTCTACATTTATAACTTTCATCTCATTATTATTGCACAGGTAACATTGCCAGATGGAAAAGTTGAAAGCAGATGCATACTTCCTATGGTTAACTGCACCAGAGACCACCAGGAAAATGATGCCCAGAAGGCATCAGCTAGCATTCCTATGGCCACCACAGCTGCCACCTCCACCACAGCAGCAGCAGTAGTAGTAGCAGCAGCAGCAAATCAGCATCCACATCCATCTAAAAATATTTTGGACAACAAAAATGGCGTCTCCATTGGCTTTATAATTGGCGCCATACTGGTTGTAACTTCAGGCATCGTTCTCATTGGTGTTGGGGCTAAGAAATGTTATGAGAAACATGTAAACAGCAGGTTCGTTTGCGTGTATGCGTTTGTGTTTGTAGGTGTGTTTGTTTGTTTTTATTTGTTCGTTTGTTTGTTCGTTTGCTTTTAGGCGTTTTAAACGACGCCTTTGTTTGCAAACTCATCAGAAAGTGAAATTGAATGATTACCATTGGATGTTGGATTGGATGAATATGTATGTATATGTATAAAGAACTGACTGCCTATGAGCCTGCCACACGACAGACATTTCATTCTGAATGACACACAGCACTGTAGCAATCATATCTTTGCAGGTCAGAGTACAACTACGCCCAACTTACCATTGATATGAATGGAGGCGAGGAAGACGATGATGAAAGACTAATATTGCCATAAATAACTCAATTTGGAAATTCCCATTTCTATATATATATATATATATACATATATGTATATATACATATATATATATATACATACACAAACATTTATTTACTTAATGTATTTATTTCAGATGTTCATCTTAAATATAGTTAGAGTTAGATCTTCAAATATTAAACATTCTTTGAGAACAAAAACATTTTTTTTTGGTTTTCTAGTCATCAAGAATTTGTGTGTGAATGCAATTGAATAATGTTGAGGGTTTTATATAGTTTTATCAAATCTTTTGTTGTTTATCTCGATAAACTTGCTTTCTAATTCATTTGAAAGAATTTGAACTTTCTACTTGATATTGAATTTGCAAGTTATATAAATAGTTTCTATTTAGTATTCAGTTTTTTATAGTTCTATTTTCATTTTTATATAATTTGTGTATGTATTCAATCTATTTTCAAGCATTTAATCTCTTGTATCGTACATGTATCTATGTATCCATTATTAAATGAGTTGTATCTATTTATCCAAATGTTCTTGTATATTTCACCTATTCTATCTGATTCTTTTGTCGAGTGTATATATATATATATCTATCAGTTTTTATATTTTTCAATTTATTAATCAAATTTTGTCAAATGTTTTCGTCGAACTGTTTAAGACAGTCACTCCTTCATCTATGAATGACATCCTGCTGATAAATCTTTATGTAACACAGACACACACACACACACACGTACGCAGAAATACACATGCATACGGAGACACACAGACATACTAACAGAAAAGCACAAACTGATACATATACACACTAACACACACATACACAAAACAAACCCACGCACACACACACAAACGCGCAATTACTTTTCCATTCATTTTTATAGCTCATTTTTAAAAAAAAGTATTTATATATATATACATATTCATATTATTTATTTTATTTTTATCTATATTATAAAACGATATTTTATTAATTTGATAATTTATGAAAACAAGCGTAAGTAAGGTTTTTATTAAATTTACAACATCCGAAACTGACCTAAAGTATGACATGCAGTAGATCTGAAAAAAATAACGTTCACTGATTGGCCGTTATTCCATGCCACCTTCTATCGCGTATTTATTTACTCATTTAATTAATTAATTAGATAATTAATTAGTTAATTAATATATCGTAAACACGAACTAATAAACATTGATATAAATATTGATATTGTTAGCTTCTTAATCAGTGTTGTGACTACTGTCTTCTTACTTTTCTTAATTGTTGAATATTGAATAAACTTGCTACTTATAAAACTCATATTTTAATTAGACTTGTGTTTATCGATTGATTGACAACTAAAAAACAACCTTATTTGTATAAATAACTAAAAAATAATACATATATGCGTACTTACATACATACACGCACGCACGCACATACACACACACGAAGACACATAACAAGACTGTAATTAAATAATTAAAAAAACTACGATTAGCAATTTAAGAAATATAACAAACAATCAAACAAACAAACAGACAAGCAAACAAACAAATAATTTTTTCATCCAGTTATATGCTCTGAGACTCAACGGTGGCACTGTCAATTTGTTTGGCAGTGCTATTTCTTAACTGTTGCATCAGCTCCAACGATTTTGTCAACAGAGGTCGAATTGTATTCAGTTCCATTAGAGTTAGATGATTCAACTGTTGAAGAGTTGAAAGTAATTTTATCTATTATGACTATAATTATAATTAATTTTGGTAATTATGATCTTAATTATAATTAATTTTAGTAATTATGATCTTAATTATAAGCAATTTTATTAATTAGGTGTATTTATTTATAGGATGGTGATGAATTAGCATCAGAACCTTAGCGTGTGTAGCATCACTTCTGATGAATGCATCCACGCTGCTTCTCAACTTAGAAGACCTAATGTCCCAGATGTCCTTCACGAGCGTTCGAACCTCATCCGCTCTTGTAAGATTCTCAGAGGCACTAATCAGTGTAGCGGGGGGAATAACAAAATGAAAAAAATATTAAATAATTACTTATTATTATAAATATCAAAATTATCATTACGGGATATAATTAAGATTAATATTGCTAAAAGCACAAGTTGGTGTAATGGGGGATATAATAAAATTACTTAAAATATTAGAGTTATGATTATGAAGTGATGATTGATAAAGATTAATAATGTTTTTATTATATTTATTGATAATATCTTTGTAATGGTGTTAGTGTAACTTGATGATGGATAATTTAAAAATATTAATAAAAAAATTTAGATAAAAAATTACTATTTTAGCATCAGCTGGCTGACCTCCATATAATGTTTGGAGGGCATTTCTGTGAAAAACTTTGAGTCGATCTCTTCTTGCTTCTTCTGCTGCAAAATTTCTGGTGCACATTTTTATAAAATAAAAAAATTATAGTTAATAATAAATTATATCATGAATATGTATTAAAATTATATTATGATTATATTATGATTAATTATAATTATACCATAATTTGTAATTAGCAAAATATACATATTGTATAGAGATTCAATCAAGACTTATTGGAAAGGTTGTATGAGTTTTAATTTACAAATGTTAAGTATGAAAGGTAACTAAGGGTAGCTAATTTCTAGCTAATCTGATGCTAATCTAACAGTTATCTGACTAAATCTGTATCTGATGAATGTTGACTAATTAGCAACTAACACTAATTAACAGTTAGTTAAGTTAGCTGTTAGAGTTACTAACTTAACTAACTCAAACTCAAATCTAGATAAAAGCAGAAATCCTACCAACCAACATCCATCCATGTCGGTGGAATGATACGACACTTCTGTCTCTGTTTTAACATGACGGCTACCCAGAGAGGTACTTCAACTGGCAGACCAGGGTTCAACGGACCTACATCACCCTTTTTTCAATGTCAAGATTAGTAAACTATTAATTTCACTGAAATGGCAAACGGAATTGTGAATCCTTATATAATATATATTGGAGTTTTTATTATTTTTTTAATAAATTTTGTTTCTTCAAAAACTTGAACATTTTTTTAATATTTTAGCTTTTGACTTGGTTTTAAAATTGAAGTCTAAAAAAACCAACTCACGCTTATCAAATAAAGTTTGTCGAGAGCAAAATTTGGAACTATGGAAACTAATTCTTTTTCAGCGATAAATTCAATCTCTGCCGGATTCATTTTTTAAAGAAAGTTGTCATGAAAAAGTTGCAAAACCGTTTTTGAAACTTAAATCTCACTTTAAAAGAGCGCGCTAGGAATTAAAAATATTGAAGTGCTTAACTTTTGAATTTTTTTTAAATATATATGGGAAGACGCCATATTAAACCAAATCACTTCACGATATCAATGATATATATATATATATCTATAAATATAGAAATCTATAAATATGTATATATGTAGACTTTGATTTCGCATTTTTCTGTTCAATTTCAAAAAATAAATCTGTCAAAAAAGTTTGTAAAATATTTATTCAATAAAACAAAATCAAACCCGGAAGAAATCTGTTAACAAAAATGAGCTCACAGAGAGAATACCTCTCAACCGAGTGCGAACCTTTCAATCACAGCAACAAAAAAATGTTACACGCCAAATATTTTCTATCAGCAGTTATTAAATAATATATTCATCAAAAAAAATATGAAAAAATGAAACCAGCACGGCAATTCAAAGGAAAGGCACTTTGAAGTAAAAAAAAAAACAAAAAATATTATTTACTCTTGTAAGAAAAATGGTTTAAATTATGTACAAACATATGTTAGCATGTGTGTGTATTTGTACATGTGTGTGCGCTGCGTGTGGATGTACGTATGCGTGTGTTTGTTTGGATAAATCAAGTGCACGAAAGACGAATAATGAACGATTGGATTTGGATGCAATTTCAATGATAATGATTGATGATGATTGTGGTGTTGACATTTTTTTTTTCTGGAATAAAGGATTTGAAAGAGCATTCGCTGTTAAGTAACTGTCCAATGGATCATGGAACTAAATCACTTCTGTCTGTATAACAATATGAAAAAACGAAATTAAAAAAAAAAACAAAACTAAAATTCTCCATATATATTTTGAACTTCAAGCAAAAATTTTCAATTCAAATTCATTCATTTCATGTCAGTAAAATAAGTGTAAAATTCAAGTAAAATGTAGCAACAAAGGCACTTATATATGGTTACGAACGATGAACGAGTTGTATAAGGATTCAAAAACATACACACACCACAATACACACACACACACACACACACACACACACACACACACACACACACACACACACACACACACACATACCACACATTAGATGACAAGACATTAATCACGTTCGCTTGCTTCTATAATGTAATATCAATAGTTCATGTATAAATAATTTATATGGTATAAATTTATAAATCACACAAAACACTAACAATTACTGTATGTATGTTTGTTTGTATGTATGTATGTTTGTACGTATGTATGTATGTATATTGCATACACCACATACACACACACATGTATACATAACTACAACCATACAGTAGAAAGTACCGACCTTTTAGAAAAATTCGATATAAAACATAAAAAAACACAATAACGTCTACACACATACACATACATACACGCACAGACAATCAGACGCACGCAAACACACATACACACACGCACACACACAGCCTAACATTATAGAATCTGTTAACGATAATATTATCACATTTTATATGTATTCACATTTCATGAAATCATGATTTTGTCTTTGCTCACAATAGGAAAGCTAAAGAAGAAAAAAGTTAGTAAATATCAATGATCTTAATCACAGGTTACAAAAATATAAAAATATTTTATCAATTCATTAATTCATTCATCCATCCATTCATTCATTCCATTAATCAATCAATCAATCAATCAATCAATCAATCAATCAATCAATCAATCAATCAATCAATCAATCAATCAATCAATCAATCAATCAATCAATCAATCAATCAATCAATCAATCAATCAATCAATCAATCAATCAATCAATCAATCAATCAATCAATCAATCAATCAATCAATCAATCAATCAATCAATCAATCAATCAATCAATCAATCAATCAATCAATCAATCAATCAATCAATCAATCAATCACTCAATCACTCACTCACTCACTCACTCAATCAATCAATCAATCAATCAATCAATCAATCAACCAATCAATCAATCAATCAACCAACCAATCAACCAACCAATCAATCAATCAATCAACTAATCAATCAATCAATAATAAGTCCAAACGTGAACAACCCATGGTATAGGTAACTTTGTTTAAAAAAAAAAAAAAACAAACCAAAAAAAGCAGAGAAGTTAAATTAAAACAAAAAAGAAACAAAAAAAATTAATTGGGTCAGTTGAAAAAATTAACAAGGTCTGTTAAGAAAATTAACTTGGCCACTGAAACTCCATGGTCACTGAAATTACATGTACAATAATTTTTTCTGTGCAGCGTAAAAACATAAAAAGAACAAACTTCATAAAAAAATTATAATTACAAATTATTATTATTTTTTTGTCCGTCAAGTCAATCAATTCATCCTCATTTATTTATTCATTTGTACGCTCATTCATTCATTCATTAATGTCAATTCTTTCTTTCGTACATTTAAATACAAATCAATCGATCAATCAATCAGTTCATTAATTCATTCAATCATTCATTAGTTCAATCATTCATCAGTTCAATCAATCGATCAATCGATCAATCGATCAATCGATCAATCGATCAATCGATCAATCGATCAATCGATCAATCGATCAATCGATCAATCGATCAATCGATCAATCAATCAATCAATCAATCAATCAATCAATCAATCAATCAATCAATCAATCAATCAATCAATCAATCAATCAATCAATCAATCAATCAATCAACCAATCAATCAATCAATCAATCAATCAATTTATCAATCAATCAATCAGTCAATCAATCAATCATTCGTTCCTTCATTCATTCATTTATTCATCAATCTCTTCATTCATTCAGTCGTTCGTTCCTTCATACATTCTGGACTTTGATGTCGTTTGAGATGCAGTCTGAGATGATCTGACCTGGAAAATGACCTCGTACAAACTGGACATTTAAATGGCTTGTCCCCTACGCAATGACGACGACCGACGATGATGATGTATAAGAATTATATGATACAGTACGATACGTGAATCTGATATCATACTAATGGTATCTAAATATTTAAATGCAAATATTGGTGATACATGATTATGATAAGATACTCTACAGTGTATAAATAAGAAATGATAATGATGATATATTGATATAATATGAAAATGATGATATATAAAAGTGATATGATATGATACTGTACGATACTGTAAATAGGATATGACACTGATGATAACTGAATATGATATAAAACTGTTGATCTATAAACTTGACAACGGCAACATACATATACAAACAACCAATCAAGCATACAAACAATTAGGCACACAAACGAACAACCGAACAAACATCCATACAAAAACCAATCAAACAAACAACCAGCAGACAGACAGACAGACAGACAGACAAACAGACAGATAGACAGACGGATAGACAGAGACAGGTACCTGTATGTTTCCTCATATGTCTGGTGAGTTCATCAGACCTAGCGAATCTCCAACTACAACCTTCCCAGGCGCAAATGTACGGTTTCTCACCTGGTTGAAATTATAAAATTCACGACCTCCACCTTCATTTTTGTTTATTAGATAAATGAGAACGAGCAAACAAAACTGACAAAAAAACGGACAAAAAACGGACAGATAAACAACCAACAAACAATTAGACAATGAAACAAACAATCAGACAAACAATCAAACTATCAGACAGACAGTCAGACAGACTGACAGACCGGTATGAGTCCTGACGTGAGCTTTAAGATGAGAGACCTTGTTGTACATCTTGTTACACTCATCGTGCTCGCACTTATACATGGATGTCTTCTTCTTGCTGACGTCTTTCGATCGGGTCCTCATCGACAGCAGAAGAGTCGATAGAGACGTCGGATGATGGCATGACGACGACGACGAGACAGCGGCCACAGTAGACGATGCAGCCAGTGGCGATGATGTACACGATGATTTTGACGGTGATAACGATGATGATGTAGCCGGTTTTAAAGATAACAAATGCATGCTGTTGCAATTGTTGATCAAGTTGTTGTTGCTGCTGCTGCTGTTGTTGTTGGAAAACATACCAAAATTGTTATGTAAAAACAACTGTTGTTGATGTTGCAGCAACATCTGCTGCTGAAGTTGTTGTAACTGTATTTGTTGCTGCAACTGCTGCAGAGGAGGTTGAGACTGTTGCTGCTGAAACAATTGCAGCTGTTGCTGTTGCAAAATTTGTTGTTGTATTTGTTGAAAGGTTGTGGCTGAAAATGGGTTCTTGCTTGAGGCCTCGGTGGGGTCAATGACCTTCGGGGTCGCTTCAGAGGTCGAGGACAGAAATGATGACGTCGAAATCCTGCAAAGAAATATAATTTCATTTGAAATAAACAAATAGTTTCATATCGATGTTAATATTATATTTGGTAAAAATAAAAAGTAAATTACATTGTAGTATACAAGCGTACTATAAATTAATTCGCCTCAATGTTAAAATGTTTCTTTTTTACGATTTATTGGACTGTTTATTAAAGAAAATATCTTAAAAATAATTTTTAAATTTTTAGTTCAGTTATGTTTTGAGTTATTAGGTTCACACACACACACACACACACACGCACACACACAAACACATTTATTCAATAACGGCTTTTTAGTTTGTCAAATATTTAACAAACCAATGAGCGTACGAACGAACGAACGAATGAAATAATGAACGAATGAATGATTGAATGATTGAATGAATGAATGAACGAACGAAGGGGCAAAAAATGAATAAACGTATTACATTAAATGCAGGCAAATTGTACAATTAATGATTAGAAAAAAACATATGCATATGAAAAAATCTCAAATATAATAATAATAAATAATAATAAATAATAATAATAATTATTATTATTATTAATATTATAATAATAATTAACGAGAACTGTGCATACTTGCTGTGAAGATTATTACAGCCGGTCTGCCATTGATGAAAACCTGTCAGCAAACGAACAACAAAACCATTGTTTTTATTATAAAAAAATAATAATAGTAATAATAATTAATTAATAATTATTATTAACTACAATTGCTACTACTACTACTACTGCTACTACCACCACTACTACTACTACTGCAAATACTACTACTCTTTATAGCTATACAAATGAGTAACCTGATGGTGAAGATGACGACAACGACGACGACGACAGTGCGACTGTGCTGGTTGTAGTTGGTGGTGGTGTCGTTGATTTTTTCAATTTTTTGTTGAACTTCCTGAAGGCAGGGTGCGATTCGTGCCCGACGAACGTGCTGTTTATCGTAGGGGAACTCTCGAAATTTGACGTCATACTCTTGTTGCTGTTGTTGGTGTTGTTGATGTTGGTGTTGTTGATGTCTCTAAGGTTGCAGCTGTTGTTGCCGTTGATGTATTTGGCGATGTTCTGGTAATGGTATGCCAGACTGCTGCTTACAAGCTCGTCATAATAATTATTACTACCCTTATTATTATTATTATTGTTGTTGTTGTTACTTTTGTTGTTGTTGTCATCATCGGTAAAGGCAGTAGCATCACTGCTCCTGCCACTTTGCAATGGCAAGTTTGAAAACTGGAGGAGAGAATGAACGGACGGCTGGACCAATGAAAGCGGCATCTGAAAGGATGACGTCACAGATGACGACGTAATGGATGATGACGTCATAGCCGGTAGAGACTTAATAGGAAGCGATGGGAACACGAAAGATGAAGATGAGAGATAAGCCGGCGGAAATGACGATGATGACGACGACGACGACGAAGAAGATGACAACGTCGGAAATATAGGCATTGAGGTAAGATGATGAAATGGTGAAGACGATGAGGAGTTCTTAGCCAGGAGAGCATTCTGCTGCCTCATGAAGGAATTCAGCAAGAAATTAGAGTTTACCGTGAGGTTAAGCATGTTGTTAAACATGGAATGATCAATTGGAGAGATTGTAGTAGCAGCAGCGGCTGCGGCAGCGGTAGCGACGTTGTTTGCACTTCTTACGAGTTTGCCGCTTCCGTTGACGTCATTGTTGTTGTCGTTATCATCATCACTAGCGTTGTTGTAGTTGTTGTTGTTGCAGAAGTTTTGTGAGAATAAACGCGTTAGATAGGGAGGATTTGTGAAATGAGAGGATAAAGATGATAGGGTTGATGGTGGTGATGACTTCGCATCAAATGGTGACGATAGTCTTGATTTTAAGGACAAATCCATTGGCTCTTCATCCCCGCGTTCAACATCAAGTTCATCGTCATTGTAATCATCGTCTTCCTGGTTCTATGTTAAACAGGTTAACAAGCAATACAATATGCACTGCCATGTAACATCATATATCATCAATTATCATAATCGACGATGATAACAACAAATCATTTTTATCATTCTCATTATCGCAATTGCAATCACAATCAGCACTCACTGACATCATCATCACCATCATCAACCACACCACCTTACTCACCACCTCAGACGACGATGCTGCTGATGACGTCGACAACGAAGATGACCTTTTCAACTTGGGCATGGAGTAATCCAGAGCCGCTGATTGGTCGGTGGTGGATGAGTGATTGAAAAATGAGATCGACGACTGATCGCTAGATGTCATGCAGGGTGATTGGCTGATGAAAGAACTGAGGTTGTCATTCATTCTTTTTCGCATTAGATGAAGGATTGACGGATGGATAAAAGTTGAAGTTGTTGTCGATGTTCTTTGGACTGCTGCTGTCGTTGCTGTCGCTGCTAATGTGGTCGCTGCCGAGTTGAATTTCGAATGAACCAGCGAGCAGTTAAAAATGTTACAAGTGGAAGAATGTACGTGGCGGCTGTCATCGGCAGTGGTGTGGTTATCATTATTATTCTTATTATCACTAATGCTATTTACAGCACTCATTGTGTAGCCATTAATATCACAGATAAAATTATTGTTATTAGCATTAATAAAAATCTTGTTGCTGAGGTTGTTGATGTTACTGTTGTTGATGCTGTTGTTGTTGTTGAAATTATGGTCTTCGAAACACTTACCATAACTGTTGATGTTAGATTTTTCATTGATGTCATCACATCTCCTGATAACTCTAGGATAGAATGATGAAGTGTCCGTACTGTCAGGTGAACATGTGCTCGTCGGTGAGTTTAAATAAGTCGCAGCACCATCTGCATCGTTGTTGTTGTTGATGATATTGTTGCCTGTGTTGTTGCTGGTGTTTTTGCTGCCTCTGAAAATAGATTTCAACAAAATTCCTGAGTTGTTGTCTTTGTTGTTGTTAATATCACTAGCGAGGTTATTTTTGTTGCCGTTGTCGCTAGGATTGCTATTGTTGTTAAATATGCTTTTCCCGTTCAGTTTGTTGTTCAAAATGGACGGAGTCAACTGAAATGTTTTTGCCTTAACTTTTGTCGTTGTTGTTAATGATGATGTTGGTGATGATGATGATGCATTGGTGGAAGATGACGTCATCGTCGATGTTTTCGTCGTTGATGATGCAGTTATGGAAAGTGAATAAGACGCTGTGGTAGATGTTGAAGATGCTGCCGATGAAGCTGCGCCTGATGACGGCGACGACGTGGATGCAATGGATGGAGAGGAGAATGAAGACGACGATGGCGTCGAAGATGACAACGAAGGAGACATCGACGCCGATGATGTCGCAGACGATGATGTCGCAGACGATGATGTCGCAACGGAAGTTGATTCATCGGCTTCTGCGGCAGCTTTCACTCTTGACATGAGTACGGATGACAGTTTGAATGGCTTCGAATAGGACGATACAATTCCCGGCGACAACAACGACGACGAAAAAGATGGCGAGGACGACGAAGGTGGTGATGAACAAGAGAAGGAGGAAGATGACGATGATGGTGATGATATGAGATTAAACTCATTGACATATGTTTCCATCTTTGCCAATGGAGATATGTGATTCACAAACATTTCCTATTAATGTGTGTTAATCAGTTGTATCAAATAATTAGCATTGCGAAGTTTCATTTTTTTGTGTGTTTATTGCTATCATTCTATTGGTTATCGTTACTCTTATTTTAAAATATTATCAACTGAATTCACACATAATCAAACGTTTGAAACCAACAATGTCTCATTTCAGAAACTTCTTACATCAGATCAGATCATTATTTTTCCAGTAGACATTCCTAAAACCACTAATATGCAAATAAACTAAAGAAATGCATAAATAACTGTAAAATAACTATAATTAGATAATGCCAATTAATAATAACTTTCATTCAACTAAATCAATTAAACAACACACACAATTATTGGCTTAATAAGGCTGGTCTTAAACTTCTTATTATATATATATATATATTATATTTACATATACATATATAACCATAAAGGTGTGTGTGGTGGGGGACTGCAAATAGGTAAACTTAAATCTCATGACGACGAAACACAATAAATAGGTATACATTTATTTAAATGAATTGAAGGCATTGTTGTGCTTACTACACAAGGCATTGGCGTGTATTCGTGTGTGTGTATATATATATATATGCGTGTGTGTGTGCGTGTGTGTATGTGTGTGTGTGTGTATGTGTACGTAATGTGAACAGTAATCATGAACATAAGTTTGTAGTACAGTATATGTGTGTGTGTGTGTGTGTGTGTGTGTGTGTGTATATGTATTGTATGTGTGTAGTATACAAACATGAATTCATGCATGATGCATGAGTGTGTGTGTGTGTGTGTGTGTGTGTGTGTAGTGCTTTGTATGTCTGCGTGAATGTAAGTACGTTAAAAGGGCAAAACAATGAGTTAGGGTGTAATCATAATTAGCGAAATAATAGTATTATTAA